TATATATATATATATATATATATATATATATATATATATATATATATAAACTAAAGTAAAGAAGAAAATGATGATTTACTGATTTGGATTTTGTAAGTGTTCGTAAAAGGTGAAGCTTGCTACGCATTGCCATTTTAGTTTGCACTCTTCTTGATGCCATTTCTCTCTCTACTTTTCTATTTCTCTCTCTTACTCCCTTTATTAATGGTTTTGTTTGATGTGAAGAATGAATAAAGAAGAGGTTTTTATAGAAGGAATAATGTAGTAAGTGATCGGTATGACCATCAAAGAATGTGGTGCAATAAACGAGGTTGTTCGTCTCTTACTTAACCAGATCACTCAGATTTAATTTGAGCCTTGAATATGAATTGTAGTGGAATAGTCGGAATCCTTTCATTCTTGATTTAAGATCACGGATTTGAACGCATGAAAATTAAAAAAAAAAAGATGTTAGGAGTGTTGCATTTAGAAATAGGTTTTATAACGTGCGAGTTTAGATTTAATCAGACTCTAATACAAATATTGACATCGAGTAAAATACAAAAAATAAAAAAACATGTATGTTATATAATTACGGATGAATTGTAGTGGAATAATTTGGAAATGTCTGCAAATGAAAAAAAAATCTTTGTATAAAAGTATTATCTCTAAAAATAAACCCTACGAATTTAAAATTTAATCAAATTTTAATATAAATATTAATCGTGGAGCGGAAACCAGCCCCAATAAGTGATCACGGAATGTCAAGTTATTTGCTGACATACTTCCCTTTTTCTATCTCTAGGTTGTCATTCTCTCTTTTAAGTAAACTTTCGTTGATTAATGTGAAAATATTTGATTAAATATATTTTAAAAATTACATTATGATAAAATAAAAGTATATTTAAAAATATTATGATAAAATGTTACGTTGATTTGTTGTAAAGAGCATAATATGTGTCTGTTAATCATTTTATAGATATTTTTCTTAATTTTTTTTTCTAATAATTTATTCTTGATGAAAATTATAGGGGACTTTTAATTATGAAATATTTGGATACATAAATGGGTAGGTAAAAGTTAAATGAGAGTCCAAAATTGTACAGTCACTGGCAATTTGCCTTATAACATGGAATCAGCTGAAAAGGACTGATAGCAATGACAAATGCCATGGAACAAGACAACCCTTCTTAATGCAGGCTCGGTTACATTAGGACCTTCAACTTTATTTTAAGTCGAAGTTCGATCAATTTAAATTCGCACGAGAATAGTATTTGGATAATATGAGCTTTTGAAATTGAAATAAATTTGGCATGGATGGGTCATATAATACTAGGATGAACAAACTGTACTCCTGAAAATTCAAATTCGAGAGCTTTAATATCTAAGAATAAATAAATAGTTATCACTTCATCATAGTTATAGATGGTTAATTAGTCGTTATTTATATGACCTGTGATTTTAATTAGAAAAACAACGCTTAAAATCGATAAATACTTATTCACGCGTGATATTCACAACGATAATAATTTATTGCGTCTATTTTCTAAGTTTCTAACACCCCCCCCCCCCCAGTCTCATCCTTTCCATTGCCACACCTTTACACCTACCACGACATTATAAGATTAGCTTAAATTAGTACTTTCTTTATCTCAATTTATGTGATATTTTTCTTTTTTTAAAAATCAAACAATTTAAGTTTGATTAGAAATTTTTGCATGGAATATTAGAAAAAAAAATTGAAATGAAATTTATATATTTGTAAACTACGTAGGAAGTACTATAAATCAAAATAATTAAAAGTTATATAAAAAATTTACGATCAAATATAGACGTAAGGAGTACTAACTATCTATTACAACACACCTCAAGACTAACTAGACCAAGTGTAAGTAGCTTATAGTTTAGATAGAAAACTCGAGAAAAAAAGAACTTTCAAATTTGTCTATTATTGTCATCTCATTTTTTATATTATTTATATAACTCTAACCAGCTATCGAAGAATTTTGAACTTCGCATTAGATGTAGGAATAGGAGTAGGGAATGGAATTTGAGAATAATGTGGGAAGTATTATAGAATTTAAATTAAAGTGATGGATGTATGTCAAATTTGTGAGTCAGTCAGCATTAGATTTGCAGTACTAGTCATCACGAGACCAATCAATTAGCTAAATTCACCCAATGACACAACTTCCCTTTGTCTAAATTTGTCAGACTTGTAGCTCACATGCCCTGCCAACTAAAGCTCTATCTGTTTTATTCCATCTTTTTTCCACTTATATCTTCTTGGTATTCAAAAAAAAAATCTTTACTTTCGATAGCCACTTTAAAATTTAAAATTTATAGTTGAATATATAAATATTTAGTAAAGTTTTAATATATATGATAGTAGTTATTAAAACTTACCCTAGCTCTGTTCGACATGAGCAAAAGCTACTGAGTTACTTGATAGATTCACCCCTATTTAGGATATTGTTTCATCTCCTTCTTATCTTTTTTGTTTCTTCATTTATCTCGATTTAAGTGATTTATTTTGAAATTTGTGATTTTAAAATATTATATATATATTTATGTGGCTATAAATGAGATTACTAAGGATATAATAAGGAGTTTGAAGTTAAAGTGTATCTGAATACATAAAAATATCATCATTTGGTGACAAATTTAAAGAATATACTACATAATCCTAGCTTATAAAATACATGCTCCAATATTTGCAAACTCCTAAACCATATTAGACTTTCATATATCTAAGTTACCAACACAATTTTGGTTTCATAATCAGGGTTTTGGTATTCGTTTTGAACTCGATTAATTCTTTGTATTATAGGACTTTTAGGAAGCAAAATATTCGATATACACCAAAGGCGACTTATTTCCATGACTCCATACACGAGATTTTGATTCAGAACTCAATAAGCAAAAAACTGTTGTATACTTCAAAGCTTACTAATGCGTCATAACTCTGAAGTTAAACATGATTAGGAAAGAGTATTACTAGGATGTGTTAACCCTGAGAAGTTCTCGTGTTGTATCCCTCCTTTTATGGTTTGTATCTGTTTTTTAGCCAACGAAACGATCTATCCCTCTTTATCTCTGTGATAGAAATAAAATCTGTGTATATCGTATCTTTTCGAAATCTCTATCACTTAATGAGACTAGACTATGTTGTTGTTGTTGTCTATACCAATAAAGATGGTATGTAAGTCTCTTAAATAATTTAAACTATGGAACAAAAATAGTAGTGTCCACAATTGTCCTTTTATTTCTTTGTCTTTCATTCATTCCCTTTTAGATAGAAAAAGCCAAACAGACAGAACCTTAGTTGATAGCAATTAGTGACAAGACATGTCTTTTCCTTTTTCATTCTTTTTTTCTTATTCACAGGCGTGCATATATATCATCTGAGAATTTAAAAGAAAAATACATACAAAAAAGCAAAAACAAAATGGAAAATTGGATTTTAGTAGTTACATATTTCCTTAAATCACTCTTTTTAGCTTTGTTTTTTTGTGGTACATATATTGCTATTATAATCTTTTTTATAAGAGTAGCCCAGAGTCCTTTTCTGTCTACTCATTTCTTGATAGTACTTCAGTCTGTTCCATGCTATGTAGCCTTAGCTTGTCTCCTTCTCCTTGACATGTCTTTCTCCCTCCACTTTCCTTTCTTCAGAGACGACGGATTCAGGATTTGAATAGAGTATCGTATCCGTTTCAATTTCTTTGTTTTATTTTTTACTTGACAAATTTTTAAGAAAATAACAAGACGTTCAAGTCTTGTGATCATAAATTAAAGATGTTTAGATTGTACCAAAATATATTTTTATGATATTAAACATTTTAGGTGGAAAGTTGAAATAAAAGAGTTGTCCAAAAAGAAAAGAGACGTTCTTTTTAAACGAACTAAAAAGGAACGTTAGAGAAACAAATTGAAACGAAGGGAATATTATAGATTATAATTCAGGATCGATCTTATCAAAACCTATTCTATTTAAACAAGTTCGAAAATATATTATTTGTACTTATTTAGTAAATCTTTAATCATAAATAAAAAGTCCGAGCAAAATTTAATTACTGGATTCAGATGAACCAATAATTTTAGCCTTTGAAAATAGTGTAAATTATTTATACTTGTTCCTTCTCAACCAAAATTTTAGCCTTAGCTTGTCTCCTTTTCATGTCTTTCTCCTTCATTTCCCCATCTTGTAGACGGATTCAAAATTTGAATATTATGGATTTTAGTTCGAGATTTTATCATAATTTATTTTATTTATCAAGGTCACAATATGTTATATATCTGTACTTACATACACAAAAAAATAAATGTATACATACATACATATATATATATGTAAAGTACGAGCGGAATTTAATTACTGTATTCATATGAACCATATAAATGAAACATTCAACCAAAAAAAGATAACCTTAGCTTGTCTCCTTAATTCTCCTTGACATGTCATTCCCCCTAATAATTGGTTAACATAATCAAGAAATTGACTAGTTTTTGTAAAAGATGCAGGCAAAATTTTGTGATGGAGAAGTCTTTCAAAAAAGTATTCGTGAGTTAACTAGCACACAATCGTACAAAATTTAGAAAAAATAAGAAAAAACGTAACATTATTCCTTAGTGATGTGTCTCCTTTAGCATTTCAGTGTTACGAAATAGAAATTCAAGATTTTAAACATTTTATCATTTGTTAGTCCATTTATTTTTTGAAAATAAATCGACTGGCTTTGTTAGCCAACTAAAAAAACTACAAGTTGGTGGTAATAGTCATTTCTCTCTAAATAGATTTGATAACCTACAACGATGAGGACATCTTTGTGGAAAGTGAAGAAGAGGATATGTTGGATCATCGTTTTGCAAATGCAGATATTTCTCCTAGGCAACATCGCGATAACATAAAGAAGCATGAAAGAAAGAATATTAGTTGGGATAGTAAGATAATCTTACTGAGAAATTTGTTCCAAGACACCTGCCGGTTCAACTGGCAAAACAAAATCACATAATGGTGTCAACAAGATCCAATAAACCGAAGAAAAGGAGATGAACTACCAAGAACTATTGGACAGATTTGAAGAAGAAAGACAAAGGAAATATCTGTTTTTACTTAATGGGAGCGAAAAAAGCTAAAACAATACTTAAAATGAGACAAAGGAAATACCTCATTTTGGTCTTTTCTTAGAATTGACGTTTTTGCTCCAACTAGAAAGGAAAGACCTCATTTTCGTCTTATAGAATGAACGTGAAAAGCAGAATCCTTAAAACGTATGATTCAAATATCTGACAAAATGATTATACAAAAAGTCGAGAAAGCATTACATGACCTATTTCAAGATTAGATGATTCACCTCTTAATTCGCTTGTGAGGGACAACTTGGAAATGTCAAATACAAGGAAACAACCCATAAAAACAGAGAGCTTATGCAGTTAAAGATCCCGTTCACGATGCAGAATAGTTGAGTCAACTAGCACTACAGCAAAAATAACTTTGAGTAGCATTAAATATTGACATTAATAAAGAGTGTTAAAGTTTTTACCGGCACTAGTTCAGTGTCATTAGAACCAATGTCGCTAAAGGCTTCAGGGACATATACAAAGAGTGTTAATTGCCGCTAAAAATACATATTTAGTGGCAATTAAGAATTAAGTACCGCTAATGATCATTTTTAATATAGTGTAGCCAAGCTAGCCTTTTCCGATGCTGTTAAGACTAAAATATACAAGTTGTCCACCGTAAATCAATGACAAATTTGGGTTATAAAACGTAATTTTCCACTGACCAACTCACTGGACTGGAAAAATGCATGGTTAAAAGCAGATTCTCGATGAAACTCTTGAGAAGCTTCCTAATCAAGGCAAATAAATATACATTTTATCCTCACCATTAGTTACTAATTTCCAAATTATTTTTCAAAACCTAACAGTATACATCAATTAATATTTATTATTGTGTATTGTGTTACTCATGTAACTTTTAAGGCATAATTTCTCTGTTCATTTACCCACATTCTTCACCTATAAATAGTGGTGGTCTTAGGACAAAAATAGAGGTGAGAAGTAGTATATTGCACGTTGAGGTTAGTGTATTGAAAGAGAGAGTTGAGACAAAGAAGAATATTCTAAGTCTTCAACTATTCACTATATAAAAAAGAGTAATTTTATATTGAAGGAAGGTGTACGTTCTTTTGGTAGAGTTTTGGACTCTTCAACTAATATGGAATTTGAGTTATACGACGTTTTTAGGTTATTGTATCATGGAGGGAACCAATAAAGAGTTATACTGCCGTAGATTACGTCGCATTTTCTTACTGGAGATAACATTTGTAAATTCTAGCATTTGGTACTTGGGACAAAATCAACTTTCAGGATTAACTCCAAATTATTTGGGGAATCCAATAAATTAATTGTTTGACTGTAGAGTATGGATTGAGGTCAACAAAATGTGATGTCAATAGTTGCTGGAAATGTTTTACTAGGAAGGCAAATAACAAACTATTCTTTCCAAAACTCTGTTAACTCAAATCAAACTGTAATTGCAGACAGAACAAGAAAATCTTATATTTTATACGAATTAATCAGAATCATGCATTAAGACAATAATCACTCATGCAAACACTTTAAGAGTTAACAATTTGCAGAAATTCATTGAGGAAACTACCCATAAAAACAGAGAGCATATGCCCATTCGCGATGCGGAACAGTAAACCAGCCCTTTTCGATGTAGTTCAAGACTAAACACTGCTAGTTTTCCACCGTGAATCAATGATAAATTTGTGTTATAAAACGTAAAACTAATTCACTGGGAAAATGCATTGATTCTCAATGTAACTCTTGAGAAACTTACTAATCAAGGCAAATAAATATATATTTTATCCTCACCATTAGTTACTTGCTTCCCAAAATCATCTTTCAAAACTTAAACACCATACATCGATTAATATTGGATATCGTGATAAACTACTCATCTTATTTTTATGTTTAAACTCAAGGACTATTGCATTCTCATTTTCAACAATGTGAGAAACATACCATGTGAATGTCACAAAGTTGAATTCTTGATCGATGAGGCCACACAGGCAAAACACACATTTGTGGCCACACACATGTTAACACTACAATCACGGTTTGCAATCTAAGGTTTGAAAATAATGGATAGATTTCATACCTGAGACCTGAGTGAGTGCTTGAAACAATAAAGGGTTAATCATTCGCTAAAATTCAACAAATAACAACTTTTCAGCTCCTGCAGTTGAAAAATAATGATTCAAAGTGTTCATCTTGAATTTTTTGTTCCTAAAATAATGACCTTAACTTGAAAAAAAATTGCTTGAAAATTAGAATAACTTATACCTCATGGACAACAATTCCATCTCATGATTTGGGATGAAATGCCAAATTTTCCAAAAAGTTTGATTTGGGAGTTCTATATTATCATTTCACATTTTTCAAATACAAAAATTAGTCACGTGTTTAAATTTTATTAAAAGAAAATACTATTTTATATCAACCAACCATTTATTTCTTATGTTTGACAAAATTTATAATTGATATTACTTTTACCAATATGTAAACAACTTAAATCGGATATTATTATTACTCTCACTAATCAAATTCGTATTTATACTAGTTTCTAAATACATACATTTCTCATATATCCACTCAACAAGACTAGCTAGTGAATAATTTAACATGATATATATATATATATATCATGATATGGATGCCAACTTGGTAACACCAATGGATCATCGCTTACAGAAGAAGCTAGATGTTGTTGCATCAATCATGAAAGTGGCATTAGATTGTTGTGTTGAATCTCCGGCAACAAGGACAAACATGAAAGATGTTGTAGGGATGCTACAGAAGATCAAGATTCAACTTCTTGCATGCTGAGCATGTTCTCTGAATCTCTCGTTTCGAATCGATCACTTTTTTTGTTTTGTTTTAGCACTTTGATTCTGTTTTCAGAAATGCTAGTTGGTTGCAATAAATGACTCTGTTTCCTCTTAAAAACTAAAACCAAACTGACCCTCTTGAAAATCTTGAAGCAGAATGATCTTAGTTTTTGTAAATTGTTAGAGGAATAAACTATATGAATACAAATAGGCAAAAAATGCATTCATGCCAGATATGAAGAAGGGTCTCATCCAAGGTTGTAACTTGTAATGCAGGCAAACTACAGAAACATCAATGACTGAATCGAACACTCAAAATCGTACTTAAGACTTGGTAGAAAACACAAAATAATTTGCAGATATTCATTGAGGCAAAACGTCAAACATGTTGTGGGCAACAAATCATGCAGTAAGTTACACACATTCATATATTAATTGCTTTATCAGTGTCTTGAAAACAATGGATAGATTTCATACCTGAGACCTGACTGAGTGCTTCAAACAATAAAATCATTTGCTAAAATCAACAAATAACCACATTTTAGCTCTTGCCGTTGAAAAATAATTCAAAGTGTTCCTCTTGAATTTTTGATAAAGGGAAAAATATATATACACTATGGTAAATAATATGTTGATATCATTCATAATACTTTTTGAAACACCGTGTTTCAAAAACTATAATATATATATCATTTACTTTAATCATTATAATAATGCATAAATTTACATTTTAATTTAACTTTAACAAACATTTATATCCTTCAACATTTAATGTGTATTAATAAATTATTTTTAACATGTATAATATTAAACAAGTACATACACATAAAATTACATCATGCATAACATTCTATGTGTATTATGTCACATAGAACAAATGTCTATTTGTTCAGTGTTATATTAGTTTAAGTGTGTACTTGTGCACATTCGAAATTGAAGGGCGTAGATATCCAACTGATGCTAAGTTAAAAAACACATTTATGCATTATGCTTAAAAATTGATGTGTTTCGGATACTAAACTATCAATTGTTTTCACAGAAAGTCCCTCAACTTTCATTTTCAACTCAAAAGTCACTAAACTATAATTTCTTTGCACAGAAAGTCACTCAACTTTCATTTTCAACTCAAAAGTCACTAAACTATGATTTCTTTGCACAGAAAATCATTCAACTTTCATTTTCAACTCAAAAGTCACTCAACTATGACTTCTTTGCACATAAAGTCACTCAACTTATTTAATTAATTTTTTCATTAAAATTTAGTGACATGAAATTTTAATTATTAATCAAAATTTTAAGAATCAAATATATTTTTTTATGAAAACAATTGATAGGAGGGGGTGGTAGGGGGCTAGTGTAGGGGTGAGGGTGAGGTAAAAAAATTGAAGTTGAAAATATTTTTTTAAAACAAGCTTTAATTTTTTTTTCTTGGAGTCTATTTGAGGGTAGGAACAACATAAATTGTAATATGAAGTTGGATGAGAGTTTTTAGAAAATATTCTTTTAAGTTTTAAAAGAAAGTCATTTTTCTTAAATTTGAAAAAAAATGAGTTGAGTTAAAAAATATTTTTTCAAAATATTTAATCCAACCAAACATAAGAAAATTGAAAGTTACAAGATATTAGAAAAAGAGTATTCTTGAGAACTTTTTTTTTAAAAAAAAATGGAGGACAAAAACATAAAAGACACTTGAGAAAAAGGTAATTAAGAAATGATGCATAAATAAATCATAGGTAAAAAATATGTTAAAAGAATAACAATGAGATATTACTACGTTGAGAAATTTGATAGGTCCTTTTCCACTATATGTTCCATGGAGAGAGATATTCGCATTTCCTCAAACATATATAAATCATGAATTTTTCAGAATAGCTTAAATATTCAAGAAGATAATTATAAAATTTTGTGAACAGATAAGATACATCTGTCCAGCGAATAATTTAACAATTATTACTGGTCTACCATATTGATGATATGAGTCAATCTATGCCTTTATCTATTGATTTTAAAATGAGTGGTTTTCAACACTTTGGATACCAAAAACACAACAAACAATGAAAGACACATTTTTTTTTGTTTCATTGAAAACACTAATTTAGTTGCATTAAAGCTGATATGTTACTAGTAATACCATTTTCGTACTAGTAATATTTTTACCTATGGAGAGAGCTTTGACATCTTTTCTGTTCACATTGCTATTCTTGTTGCTTCAATATGTTATGCCTTGTTCATCCACGACTATTTTGACGGATCAATCGACTCTTCTATCTCTGAAATCCCAAATTATTTCCGACCCCTTTCATTACTTGGATGAGAGTTGGTCTCTCAATATTTCTGTTTGTGATTGGATAGGAGTAACCTGTGACTATCGTTACCAGCGAGTGAAGTCGTTGAATCTTTCCAGCATGACTCTTACAGGGATGATTCCCCGGGAATTTGGAAACCTCACATTTCTTGTTTCTCTTGACTTGAGAAGGAACCATTTCCATGGATATTTGCCTCAAGAAATGGCAAATTTGCGTCGGCTTAAGTTTGTTCATTTAAGTGTGAACAGCTTCAGTGGGGAGTTTCCTTGTTGGTTTGGGTTTTTAGACCAACTTCAAGTTTTAAATCTTGCAAATAATCGTTTCACTGGTTCCGTTCCCTCGTCACTCTCGAATGCCTCCAGATTGGAGACTTTAAACATATCTTCCAATTTACTGGAAGGAAACATCCCGGAAGAGATTGGCAATCTTCACAACCTGAATGTGTTGTCCATGGAACATAATCAGCTTACGGGTTCTATACCATTCACAATATTCAATATTTCTAGAATTGAACTCATTGTATTTTCAAACAATAGCTTATCAGGAAATCTTCCTAATGGTTTATGCAATGGTCTTCCAATACTCAAAAGGCTTCATCTATCAATGAACGAGCTTCGTGGCCATCTGCCTACAAGCTTGTCAAATTGTTCACAACTACAAGTATTATCTTTAGCATTTAATGATTTTGATGGACGAATACATAGTGAAATTGGAAGATTGAGTAACTTGCAGGGATTGTATCTTCGAAACAACCATTTCACAGGTATGTTTTATCTTATGAGTGAAATTGTATTATTGTATCTAATCACCTCACATCTTTTTTATCGCACGTCAAAATAAATGCAGGGATTATTCCACAAGAAATAGGAAATCTTGTTAATTTGGTGGAGTTAACCGTGGAGAATAACCAGATTAGCGGCTCTATCCCGATCTCCCTATTCAATATTTCTAGAATTGAAGTCATTTCATTTTCAAACAATAGCTTATCGGGA